TATCTCCGAAACCGCTGAAGCTACGATGCTGAAATTTTCTGACTTTTCCTAAAACTAAATTGTGCACATTCCCTGACAATTTCAAGGTCATACCTTTACCAGGGGCGGCTCCAGAGCACTGTGAATTGGGGGGTCCTATTCGTGAAGCGAGTCATTTGGGCGAAGATCACGATGCTGATGTATTATAACTGTATGCACCAGTTTTACGAACAGTGAATGAAAGGTATCATGTGATAACATATATACAAAGCTATTGTGCGTCCTCTTTTGACACGTTTTTGCTATAATAGGCGGATCCAGGCGTCCAAAAAGGGGGGTTATGTTTTACCTCCCAACATAGGTGCCCTGACACCGCCTATGCATGACCAATACAATTGTAGTCGTTCTCTCATAAGAAAGTTGTAACATAACAAGACCATTACCACCCTTTTTAGAAACAGTACCAACAAAAAACTTATTTACTATACTTTTTGTGTACCCCCAATCTCAATGATCTGTATCCGCCTATGATTTTTGAAAATGCATATCTTTAGGATCCATGTGAATTCCTGGTTCATTCTCTATCGATCGGCAAAAGTTGCGTTAAGATTGGTTCAGAAACCTGGCCGTTATAAACAGTCTAAAATGTATCTGCAATTTCCCCGTTTTTACCCCCTCTACCCCTATTGACATTTTTTTAATTTTTATTTTTTAGAAATGTAGATCACGTTGAGCGAAATCGAATGCCGTTTGAATTTTGAAAATCGGCCCGTTAGATCTCGAGATAACAAGGGGGGGTCGTAAACAGCCCCCCCCCCCCTGCCACTAATAGGGGTAGCCAGGAGCCTGCCACTAATAGGGTTAAACGCGACATTGACAAATGACATCAATTTGGTAGCTATTAGACTGACGGCAACGAAGCTCGGTAGTCGGTGTTATATAAGCTAGCTAAATGGATCTGCTCAAACCTGCTGTTTTGGTAAAAATTGGAGGTTTGGGTTCGTTCTTTCAGGTCCTAATTCGTATCAGCGTATATTGGTTATTTCTTTTTGGAATAACCCCCGCACTTGATGGATAACCCTCCCCTCCTCGTTTTTTTTTTTGCGAATAACTCGCGCAAAAAGCGCCTGTTCGCGACGATACTTTCAGCGCCCTCGAGTTTAGGTATTATTTTACATGTAGGTACTCTGAAAATTTTAAGACCCTGACCCCAATGACCTTTGACCTGTGGCCTATTCTTTGGGACCATGTTTGGCCGGAATTGCGATTCGGCGTATGTCATATCACATTTTGCGCGCATTTCCAGTTTTTTTTTTGTGATTGTGAACGCTAAAACATGTGAAATGGTGTTGGTCCTATTCATTGTGGTTGGTGTCAAAGTCACGTGAAGGTCAGGTCTAGGTCATTGACCTTTGATGACTTGGTTCTTTTCTTCGAGTTTTGCATATTTTTAGGAAGTTATTATAGCTGATTTTGAATTTAGCATTCATTTAAACAGTTACGAAATATTTTTAGTGTCATTGTAACATGTTTCGACGCCGTCAGTAGTGGCTGACAGTTGACACCTATTATGAATAGCCGGCAGGACACCTACTCATTGACATGACCATGACCCGACCCGACCCGGCCTAAATGCATGAAGACATCATCTGTGATCAAAACTAACATGAAAGTCGTGATCAGCACCCCGAAAAAAACATAACAGCTTCACTTTACGAAGTTTTAGCAGGTCCCGATTTTCCCGACCTTTGGGGCATTGACCTGACCTGGGAGGTCAACCAACGACCTAGGACCTTAAAATAAGGCATCATCAGCTTCCTCGTCGATTGGGATCTGTTAGGCTGTACAGAGATTAAATTGATTAGAAGGATTGTCACCTTACAATTGATGTCTAGGATTATTCAAATATCCAATGGTTTTTAGAAACGCACACACTGTTGTTGGCTAGCCTGCTATACAAGTCGTCATTCTTATTGCCCTTCAATTCAATACTTCGGCGAACTTGAAAACATGAATGAAAACTTTGAATATGATGCAAGTAGTATGTTTCACTATTGAATGACCTTAGTCCTGCGGCCTGCGGTCTTCTGGGAGCTGCAGCTGTCGTCGGGCCGCCATCTCCGTCTCTCGGAGTGGCGTGAATCTCACGCGGCAGGACTAATCCGTCCGTGGCGTGATGCAACCCGAGACGGCTACCCTGAGAGCGGCGGCGGTGGCCGCTGTGCCCACTGGACTGGTCACTTTCACTGTCTCCACTGCGGGCCACGGCCGGCGGGCCGCGGCGGCACGGCCGGCCGGCGTGCTCCACCCCTCCCCGGCCGCGCCGCTCAGACGCAGGGCACGCGACGGTCACGACGCGGGTGTTCACGAGTCACGGCCGTCCGGCTGACCCGCCGACGGCGTGTAGGAGCGCTATCGTGTAGTGTGTTTTGATATGCCCTATATGTCGTGCGAAAATTTCATGACAGAAGCGGGAGATGCAGTAATGGGCTGTTCTGTGATGACTATGGCTGCGTCCTACATTTTTTTATTGTTTCGCTCTCAGATATCATTACTCATCAATTTCATATCATATATCATTCATAATTATCATCCCGATTTCATATCATATATCAATATTATATCATTCATGAAATCGGGCTTGAGAACCGGGCCATGCTATTCGCTCGTAGCTTGCATTATGGACCTGCCGCCGTTTAGTACCTCCCCATGTTGAACGCTGTTGAAGAGAGTGCCTTTAGTGCCTCTCCATGCTACACACCGCGGCACGTGCCGCACCTGCTGGCACCGCCGGGAAAGTGATCACGTGTAGGCGTAGGCCGCACGGAACAGCCCAGCTCTCGGGAAAATTACCCGATATTACTGTCTGCCACCGGGAAAATATCCCTTGAACAGGGTCGGAAGGCGACGGCGTTATTTTTGGAAAGCATCTGTGAAACATCACCAGGAAACGTGCAAGACCAGATCCTTGTAATGTTATCTTGCGATTGGAGCCGGTTTCATTTCATTGTCAAATGTTGCATTACTCTTTCTGCACGTACTTTCACGATATTCAGAGGGGCTTTACATGCAATTGTGAACTGGGAATTCAATGAGGTTTGATCGGCTTAAGCTTGCCGTGGTATTACGTTCTTGATTACTTTGAAATACGAAATTGAACACAGCAAGGTGCCTTTTGGGGCGAGAAACGAGCGAGCGAGAGAGCAAGCTACGCACTTGTAGAAGTGCAACGGGTTTTTCTAACTAACCTGTGCGGCGATCTCCCTTAACAGTGCAAGTGGTGCGAGGTTTAAGCTTAGTGTTGACCAGCCCTTTCTGAACCAGCCCTTTTACCAGCCCTACGGTTTGTTCGCAGATATATTAAAAAACGGCGCTCTTGACACCCTGCTCTGGCGCTCTGTTTTGGCATCCATGTTCATGCATCTTTTCCGCACATGTTATGAAAACTTCATACCCAGGTCGCTCAAGGTCATGTCACCCGGCCACGTCAAGTGACCTCACCTCAGAAAAATAGAATCCTGGTCATAGCTACACCGACCGCACGATTACCTTGAAACTTTCAGCGATTGATGGGAGTAACAAGGTCTATAAAAAAAAAATAGCTCGGAATTTCGATATCGGTGACCTAAGGTCAGTTTAACTTTTCGTCCCTCCATCATAAGTCAAGTCAATGGGAGAAAATTAAAAGGTGACAGGCGTCTCGTTTGGACGAACGTCATTCTAGACTTTCTCAAACATCGGCATGCAAGTTAACCTGACACACTGAATAGGAAAATTGCACCTGTGACCCCTCATCTTCCCAAAGTCATCTAAGGTCATGAAAGGCCCTAGCAGTTTTTTTGGCAATAGCTTTTGATAGACATGCTAGAGCGATGAAAGCGCCTCAGGTGTGTTCAGGGTCTCGATACGGATCGACTGATATGCAACATCATAACCTTGACCCAAGGTCAGATTTTGAAAATGACCTTTCGAGGTCAAGTTATAGTTCATTCGACGCGCCTCGACAAGAGGAACACGGTGCCGGCAAACAAATGTCGTGCCCCCTTTTTAGTCAAAAGCTATTACACAAAACCAGTTTCCGTAAAAACGGTTATTTTCGAGTTAACTGCCCTCTGAAGAAAAAAAAACATCGGTCCTTGGTCAAATCGAAGAAATTATTCCAAAAAGAGCGTTAATAGGGCTACCCAATGCGCTTTTCCGCGGTAACGTAGCTCTATTGGTTCTCGAGTTATGCACCTTTGTTTCTTCGAAAAAAAAAGTTAAAATAGGCAACATTTTACCTTTTATGACCTCTAGTGACCTGACCTTAGCTAGAAAATGACCGAACTATTTTCGTCATCATTTTTGACGCTCTTTCGAATGCCTTTTACTGCGTGTCGCTACCTGGCTCAGGAGCCGAGTTAGACGGGGAGGGCCCGGGGCGGTTGGCGCCGAGCACCGGCGCGGGCGCGGGTTGGTATTATTGTCATCTTGGGAGCATTTCTGCAAACGGTTTGTCACGTTACCAATACTCGACATAAATGACATGATTGGTCGGAGCCAATCAGCCGCGTTTTGAGCTTACCACGACAATACAATGTTGATGTATTGACTGCTTCTTCCCTAAGCTTCAAAAGCAGAATTGCAGACGACTGCGTTAACAATTTGTGGTGTGGAAATCAAATGGAATAGTGGTCTCAAATCATGTGTAGCTATGACCATCTCATTACCGACAGTTCTGGCTCAAAAGTTGGCTGAGCGGGGCTAGCCAACATTCGTTGATTGGCAGAAAACGTTATGTTATGATGGTCTATGAAGGACGACGTAATAGCTGAATCTGGGCCTGTATTTGCTTGCACTTTGCGGCTTTGGAGGAGGGGGGATATATTTCATTGAGTGAGGACTTTTGGTGAGGGGTGTAAGTCATTACCCGTTTTATACAAATACCACTCCTGTTATCCGCTGTGTTCTATCCTCTATCACCAATAGTCTTGGTGATAACCTTTTCACTATGTTTCTTCATTCACAAGGAAAACCAATGCTTATTACACGTCGTTTTATTCTGAAGACAGACACCGATGGTTGAATACGGTGATGGCATGCAACAATATGGCAAATCGTGAATGGCTACTGATGACATCTGACAGTTTCCAGCTCTATATCTCCTACGCCACGGTATCCAAGATCCAACCAATGCTAGCACACGCTACACCGAAGGTCATTACAAATCTTCTAATGAAAAATTGTACTTTGGTGCCTGTCTTTTCGGCTTTACCAGTGATGTGAAAATATGGCTCCATGCCCCCACTATTTGATGTCCGTGAATGCCTTTTCACTTGATAGATTTGAGCCACTTTTGCTCAGATGGATTTGACTAGATTTCACAACTGTTAAAATGTGACGAAGGAATTATTCCAGTGGTGGCGGCATAATTGACATGCATCCTATTTTGCGTGTCTGGATGATGGTTGTTTTTGCGAGAGTTTCCAGTAGCCATTGTTAAGGTGACGTTATGATAGTCTCAGAATTATGTCGCCGCAACATATTTCGCATCATGCAATATCGAACAAGGCAATAACACAGTAATAAAGTGGGTGACGACTGGGACCACGCCCGCGATGTAAGCGAACGGCGGGCATAACGGATCACCCCGATCACAGCTCAAAACAACGGCCGATCGGTCGGCTGTGCTGACGTCTCGGCGCGAGGACACCCGCAGTGCTCGGCGTGGTGTCGCGTCGCGAGGCCACGAGCACCTCCTGAGGTGTGATGGACTGGTGACAGTCTACAGGGCGAACCCGTTGCCGGTGAAGTCCTTGAGCCACGGGTAGTTCTTAGGGCACTCCATGCACGTGTTCAGGTAGAAGTTCTCGCCGGGGAGCTCCCTGAAAAGAAAATAGTTTGTCAATACTCCATGATTTAGCAGCACGGGCATTTGAGATATTAAACATGTTATTTGGTCGCTTCGGTATGATTGACATTCTTTACACAAGATCTATGGGGTCACATAGTGGCATTAATCAGTTGTATACACACCTGGTGGTGAGCTGACAGGCGTTGGGCAGCGAGCAGTACGGCAGACCCTTGACGTCGCAATCGTTCTTCCACTCAAGGAAGTCGCGGATGTCATTGCTGGGTGTCGGGTTCTCCATCCAGGCGAGCACCTGCCGGTTGCTGAGGAAGTAGACGTCGTTCTTGGTCTGCATCTCGTCGATGAACTTGTTCAGCTCCTTGGTGAAGTCCTTGTTGCTGCTGAGCCAGCCGGCGGTGAAGTGGAGACCGAGCGGAGCGCGGTTGGTCGTGTAGTGGCGCTCGAAGTTGCTGCGCAGCATGGCGGCGAACTGTTCTCCGGAGCGGATGCTGGTACAGGAAGAGAGCAGGTGGCAGCCCGGCAGACGCTCGTCCACCTTGCGGTCTTCGCGCAGGTCCAGCTCGTTGATAACCATCTCCCAGATGCGGTGCGACTGCGATGGGCAGTTCTGCGAGGTGCCCAGACACTTGTGCGGCATGCGGTAGTCGAGCGTGTACGGCCAGATGGGCACGCGGCCCAGAGGCGCGGTGATGGATGAGTCGTACACGAACTCCTGGTCCTGCATCATGACGAACTGCGTGTTGCCTCCGACACGGAGCTGCGGCGCGCGCAGGCCAATGACTCCCGTGATGTTGGCGTAGAGCTCGATGATGTCACGCGCGCCGGACATCTCGTCACGCCAGGTCTCGTAGTCGCCGTACGACCAGTAATCGGGGTCGTCGTTGTTGGTGATTGAGAAGACTCCTATTTCGTGGCCCTTGCGGCTCAGCTCTTGAACAGCCGAATAGTTGGTGTACTTGTGCGAGACGTAGAAGGTGCCCTTGGCCGTGCAGCCGTTGGGGTTCTGGCGGTCGTCGCGGAAGATGTCCTGGAAGATGCCGATGTTGTCGACGTTGACGGAGCCGTGGAAGGTGATGGTGATCATCTGCGGCGTCTGCTCGGGCTCCAGGCCGTCGGGGATGAGAGTGCCGTCCGGAGAGCAGAAGCAGCCCTCGTTCAGAGTGCACCGGGATGTGTCGCACACCTCGGCTCCGTTGGGGTCCACGCCGACGGCTGTGGACGAGCGCGAGACACTGTCAGTTATCCTGTCCACTGAAATATAATTGATGTGCATCGTTGTCGTTATTTGTCATTGTGACTATCGGGCTTTATGCCTGCAAGCATACACGTTTGCGCGCATTGATGCATCCGTGGCACCTGATGCTGACTGGCCGTACCAACTGCCATGACTATATTTCATGCATGCTCGCACATTCAGAGGCTACGGTGTGTCATTACTCACTGCAGGCGTTTTCGTCGGAGCCGTCGGAGCAGTCGGCCACTCCGTCGCAGAAGAGGATGGAGTCGAGGCAATCATCGTTTCCGCAGGCCAGCTGACCCACAGGACACAGCGGCTCATCCGTCACCAGCTTGGGCAGCACCTTCTTCGGCTCTGTAGAAAAAATACAGTGTTAGCTAAGCTACAGCGCTGCAGAGTACGTTAAACACATGGCGCAAAATAATGATAAATTGAAAAGTTATGATATTCCGACTTTTTGTATTGCTGGACTGTTACGTACTTTCGCTGTTGCTCAATCAATCATTATCATTAATTTTTTGTTAGTTTGATGCTGGTCTTACATATATTGTGTCCTATTTGCTTCGACGTTTTGACTTACTCTCCAGGAGGTCACAGGAGTTGACATTTTTCCGCCACAGGCACGTTTGCTGTTTGACATCGAAGGCAAGTCCCTCCGGGCATTGGATGCGTTTCAGGCCTGCCCGGGTGCACCTGCGAATGAGTCATAGATCATGTTATTGATAGAGAGAGAAGCCGACAAGATAATAATTTTTTAACATCACCAAAAACCGTTAGATGATCACGCTAATCAAATGTATCTGGTCATTTCGTTCCTTTAATGGCATGCTGCAATGTCGCCTTCACTTTTTTGCCGTTCGAACAATCCGTTTGCTGCGCGTAGCCCACCGCTGATCTGTAGCCCCAAACCCTCTCTTGTAGTCCCCCTGGTTTACCTGTAGACCTCCTTGCAGTCGCCGTCGGTGCTGAGACGGAAGAATTCGTCGCCGCGACCCTTGCAGAGTTCGTCGACTGTGCTCTTCTCCTTAGCACGGATGGTGGCGGGCGACTGCCGTTTTTCCCGATGCAGGCTGGAGGCGTTGGCTGCAAGAAATCACAGCAGTTTCGGTCAGCTGTGTATTCCAAAACGAAGCTCGGGGACATTTCATGGATTCAGTTCTAATGCTAAGCCAATCATAAGGAATTGGAACCAAAGCTACTATACGATTTACGATGCGTTACTAGGCACGGTGTCGAGTACCTTCTAAGTAGTACGAGACTGTTAGGAGGTATTAGCCGTTAAAAGTCATGGATCTCGGCGGCTTTGTGATTCTGAGGACTGTAAAGCTGCTTTCGGTCTCCAGGGTGACATTTGTGGTCACCGGAGCGTGGTCGCCTCCCGATTTTGCGGTCCGGCTGACCACAATCCGTGCCGGTCGGTGCCGGCTGCGGCTGAGCGGCCACTCTGGGCACCTGCAGGGCTCATCTCTGCTCACAGCACCAGGGAGAGGCGGCCGAAATTCCTCGGTAGCGGTCAGCAGAGGGCATCTGCACTCTGCAGGCCCACTGACATCGTGCACTCACTCCAGCCTAATCGCCCTCAAGGACAACAAGCCGCTCATGCGAGAGAAACACGGCGCAGATACAGCACCGCAAAGCCCCTGCAGCGTTATATAAAGAGATAATCCTAATGTTTTTGTACTTGATGGTCTCAGGTTTGAGGTATGCGATAACAAGAAAAAAGAACAGTTAAATGGCCGATGCGAATGGTCTTGCCCTTGCTTTTTACTAATGTCCTCATTCGAAGGTTTAGCTATTACCACGGAAAATTCGTCTCTCGTTATCGTTATTGTGCCTTATCGTTCTCAGATGTTTGAAAGAGAAAATACTTGCCAATTGGCAATATATTCTTCATATTAGCATTTTCTAAAGTTTCTTGATAACTTTTAGGTATTTTTAATTAATTTTGTTTGCTGCTAGGCGATCAACGTGGAACGAGCGAGTGGAAATGGCAACGGAGATAATGGAACTGTGTGCTTATCTCAGGCAGTTTTTGCAAAATTGTCGGGGGAACTCAGATTTGTTTTTCAATAGGAAAACACAATTCTAACGAATATTTTTATGACTATTGACAACAAACCTTCGGTTATCGAGATAGGGTGAAATGGTGAAAGCGAAGGGCAAGAGGAACTTCAATAACGTACGTTATGCGACTTGTCTTTGAGTGGCCTCTTCCCTATCATTTGCACTAGAATAGAAAAGTCAATTGTTCTTTCGTTCGCGCAATCTGGTAATATTCCGGATTGTTTGGCCTTGATTCCTTCCCGCTGCCTCGTGACGGGCGGCACGGCGCGGTAATTTTAGGGCCTGTTCCAGCGCCTCCAGAAGAAATTCTTGACTGGAGGCTCTACCAGAGGTTTTACTGGAGGCGCTGGAACGCAATCTGGAGATTTCTGGAGATTGGCGTCATAGATACCAAAAGAATGACGATTGTTCTCTCTTGAAACGCATAATTTGTTTTCAATTTTAGTTAAAAAGATAAATAAAATTATAGCAATGTAATTTTCTTTACAATCGAGTTGTAAAATAATCAGTCAAATGTCCTTTGTTTACATTCGTGATTGTCACATGTGCGCCATAATTGTAGACCAGAGCCTCCAGAGAAATTTGGACCTCTCAACTCTCTGGAGGCTACTGGAGGTTTCTGGAGCTTTGGCGAGAGCTTTCTGGAGCTTTCTGGAGGCGCTGGAACGCTCTCTGGAGGATTCTAGAGCTTTCTGGAGCTTTCTGGAGGTTTCTGGAGGCGCTGGAACAGGCCCTTAATCTGGTAGTGACTGGTTAAAATGCTGCACGCTCTGCAGGATCGTGCTGGTATCCACTCTGAACTAGCTGACCTTGTGTCGATCAGCTGATTGCTACTGGGCGTGATCACTGTGTAACGGGGAACGGACGAGTGGGAGAGACGTGAGAGATTCGGGCACTGCCTACTGACAGAACGCCGGCGAGTGGAGGACACGAGAAGAATCTGATACTGTTTGCTGATGCATAGAAAGAATGGGCGAGATTATGAGCCAGCGGATTTTTTTTACAATGTTGGGTGCTGGAGATGATATCCATTGTGTTACAACTTCCGATCGCGATTTTTCTCATACTTAGTCGTCTGACTTTGATACGATCTGAAGTAGTGACTTCCACGCAGTTTATCGGACGAACTGATGATTGTCTTTATTTTTTTTATCCACTGGTGATTGGATGAATTTTACCGATGATTGTACAAATACTCATTTTTAAACTTTCCGTGCCAAAGAGGCACAACTGGTCTTTCCAAGTTATTTGCACAAAGTTGTTGCATCTAAAAGAGTTCTAACAAAGTTGCATTCAAATTTCATAAATTGGCAGTCAAGAAAACTAAGGTCATGAAGTCTTAGCAGCGACAGAATGATTGTGAACATTAAAAACGTTTGACAATGTGGAATTTCAACTTAGATTATGAGCTAAGGTGTAAAATACAATCCTTGGCAATTGTTTATCAACAGCTCATTTCAGTGAGAAACAAAGGTGGCCTTTTTGGTTTAGCCTTGGTTTTACCTGATCATTTAGGTGAACCTTCATCATATATTTGTTGATTAGTGACAATCAATGGCGGCATGTGACTACCGTACCCGCGCCGCCGGCCGTCGCTCCCTCCCCGGCGCGGCGACTGGGCAGCTCGTGTCCCGCGGCACAGTCTACCCGTCAGCGGGTACTCATTACTCGGTACTCGGTAGTCGGTACTCACCCCCAGCCAGCACGAGAAGGGCGGCGCACAGCAGCGGTAGCTTCATGGTGGCGCTTCCCCGACAGACACGCCACGAGCCGGCCACGCCAGCCACTTCTTATAGCCGCGCCAGTGCGCATGCGCGCCGCCGCCCTTTCACCGCCTTGCACGGCCGGTGCCGTGCTATCGGCCGTGCTCCGCCGACGTGCTCAGCGGGTGGCGTGCTCTGCAGATGAGCGCGACCGCCGATGGCTCAGCTGATCATGTGTGCGCGGTGGTCACGGCAGAAATGAATGAAATGCTCGGCGACGAACAGGCGACGTTATCGGTGGATGACATTCCGACAGGCTTCAGTGTAGCTCTGACAACAGCCGGGTGTAATTCGGCTGTTTATCTACCGGTTTCTGCTGTTAATGATTTGCTCGTGTTAATCCCCGCTACTCGCTAGTTTGTGATACTTTTGTAGTGCGGGTTATTGGGAAATGTTTTTGTTTTTGCCCTTTCTATTCTTTTTAAAATCCTTTTAACTGATTTCCAAAGTTTAATTTGTTTGACATTTCAGACATAAAATTAAGTTATGAAAGGGATCCTAAAATCGATGCCGTCGCTACCACTGATGACGCTCAGGTCAAGTCAAAGGAAAATGATGTTTATAATGCAATGCAAGGCTATGATGATGCAAATTATTTTGCAAAAACTGCAAAAAATGCATTAGGTCTGATAGGTTTCAACGAAAAAGCTGATATTTCCCATTGGCTTCACAAACTAGACTAACAAATAAACACCTAACGATTAATTAACTAGGTCCAGAAAATAATGAACTATGATAGAGGATAATGAAAAATAAAAATAATCAAAATATGATAGAGCATCGCAACATAAAGAGTTGTTAGTTTGTATGTGATTGTTTTTGTTTCAAACCTGCAGCAATCGATTTTACATTCTGGTTAAGATTTATTTAATCTCTAAGTATAGTGTACCTAGCCCTGCTTCAAAAGTGTACAGCCCTCAGCAGACTGCGTGGTAGGTATTCTTTTTTTTTTTTTGACAAAACCGATGATAACTCAAAGGCTATGTTATCAGTCGATCGGAACTCACTGAAAATAGATGCGCCATGCTCCACTCCTTTCGACTTAGAGTCTATCACTTAACAGTACGCCTTTTGTGGCAGCAAAATGCAAAAGTTTGTTTTGGGGGCAAATATAAACTTTTTGTTTTGTTGCCGAACTGGATGGAAAATTAATACAGTGATAATGCCAATCTGAGGTCTGGAGTCTTGCGCTCTTGCTGTTATGATTTCCGAGTGACCGAGGGCATAATATTCGCTTTATTCTCGATTTTGTCGAAAAAAAGAACACCTACCACGCAGTTTGCAGAGGGCTGAGTGTACACCCGACAGTATTTCCTGCAAATCGATGGTCTCGGTCTTAAATGTCTTCAGAACATAACCGTCACCTAACGTCATTTCCGGCGACCGTAATTACAATTCATTTTCATGGTATGCCTAAAAACAACAAGAGAGATCATGGGCGACATGGGAAAAAATGCCTAAAGCTTCAACAGCAGTTCATTGCTGCTCGCTTTTTTCGTCCTATTGCTAAGAAAATGTTGGCGTCAACTGACAGAGTAGTCACCAGTGTTGGGCTGTAAATGTAACTGCTTTGCATTGGGAGTGGTGGCATGGGGCGATTCGGTGCTCTTGTATGCTGTGATCTGAAAGATCGTACTGTCGCTCACTGTGGTTGCGTTACAGGAGAGATTAAATCGACACTCGGACTTGGTCCCCGACTAGATAAGCACGGGTAACCCGACACCGCTGCCCAGCTTTTAGAATATAACGGCATGCGCTTCAAAAGTCCCGGCAAAGAAGACAATAAGCCTTCTTTGTTGTATTCTTTATACGCAGAGTCGGTAAATCAATATTGAAATCGAGGCCTGACTCTCTCGCTGACCTTCAGAAGACGCCTGAACTGATCATGGTTATGCCGATTGGGATCAACTTCGAGTCATGCTGTCAGCGCGGTCATTCTATCTCATCTCGTGGTCTTACCATTCTTAGCGCTGGCTGTCCAGTGCGATCTGATCTAGATTCAGTCCATTCACCATACATGCCCGAGTGCCTGCATATCGCTCGTGTTGTTTTGGCTGTCTATTTTGGTTGCGATCGCTTATGTTATGATATTACCCATCCCATCATATTGGTTCTTAACCCTCGCATGTGTACGGCGTCTGCCAGCTTCTAATGTGTAGGGGGGGGGGGGTCGGTTGGACCACCCCCCCCCCCTTGCCGCTTGGCCCCTGATCGAGCTAGAGCTTCGCGGAAAAAACGAGCGTGTTGCCCGTGACGAGAGGAAGCCGATGATACCCAATTTTAAGGTCCTAGGTCATTGGGTGACCTTCCAGGTCAGGTCAATGACTCAAAGTCGGGAAAATCGGGACCTGTTAGAAAGTCGTGAAGTGTGGCTGCTAAGGGGTTTTTCGGGGTGCTGATCACGAATATCGTGTTAGTTTTGATCACAGATGATGTCTTTAAGCATTTAGACCAGGTCGGGTCAGGTCAGGTCAGGTCAACCAGTAGGCATCGTGACGGGTATTCGTAGGACGTGTCAACCGCCTCTGACAGCTTCGTAACATGTTATGAAGGCACCAAAACTACTTCGTAAATGTTCAAATGGTTGCTAAATTCGAATTCAGCTCCAAAAACTAGCCTAGAAACATGTACAGCTCGAAAAAGTGAACAGAGGTCACCCGAGGTCACCAAAGGTCAATAACCTGACCTGACCTTCAGGTGACCTTGACACCCACCCTAATGCATGGAAGCAACATCAAATCACATGTTTGAACGTTTGAAACCACGAAAAGCTTGCAAACGCGCGGCTAATGCGAGCCGACATACGCAGAATCGCGATTCCGGCCAAACATGGTCTCGGAAAAGAGGTCACAGGTCAAAGGTCATTTGGGTCAGGGTCATGAAATTTTCAGGGTAGGTGTAAAATTGATCAATGTGAGGGTACTGTAAGTTTCGTCGCGATCGGCCGCTTTTTACGCGAGTTATTCGCGAAAAACCATGGGGGGTCCATCCGACCCCCCCCCCCCCCTACACATGCGAGGGTTAAATTATGTCGGTTGCTGAATCATGACCCTGTCTTCTTTGGCACGTGCCAACGGTGATTGAAAATGATGACGGTGATACCTGGCGTCGTCACGTAGGTATGCTCCTGCTCTAAATTCTGCTCCCAGATGACCTTGACCGGCGCTGACCCACTAACAGCCGCCGTGGCACTACATATGTACCTATTACGCAGAGTGGAAGCTATACGTAGTAGCAGTGCCTTCTATCCAAGGGCGTCAAATGGTTGGGCGGGCAAGGGCGAGGTCGCGATTTGGATCGGCCGGATAGCCCTGCCATTGCTAACTGCTCTGAGGGCTGCTTATGGACGCGAGTCGATATTAGGAACGATAAGTCACTGAATTATTTGATAATTTCCCAGTCTTGCTTGCATCTGATGTCATCAGTGATCAGACATCCGATGCAAGCAAGACATTCCGTGAATTTGTTATAGGAAACTTACCTTGCATCGATTGCATCGATCTTGCACTCATAGTCTTGCATGTAAGCGTTATCACCACCTGCTGTTAAATGCTTCCACGAATTTGGTTAAAGGAAATTTATCTGTGATTTGTCATTGTCTTGTGGCAAATATAGATATTCTTTCGTCCTACCGACATAACGTGGGTCTTTGGCATTTCAGTAAAAATTATTGTAAGGAGTTACAAATAAGATAATCTTATGCTTGATTTTTTATGGCTATCTTTTGTAGTAATGTTTTTGTTTTTGCCTTTTACCATAAGGACATGTAATGTAATCTATTTCGTGGATTACGATACGTTGAAGATTAGCAATAACACTAATATTAACCTTATATATGCTTAATTCTGGACTTTTGCGGGCCAGCATTTCAAAAAGTAAGTGCAGCGCTTCTGCTAACAGAGAACTGTTGATAAATTCAGAATGTTAGGTATGGAATGTCGTTCCGTGTTCTCTAAATTATTACGAGCGAGCGAGCGCAGCGAGCGAAGTGAGTCTTTTCAATATAACGGAAAAATCTCAGTATGAGCGGCCCGGCCCGGCCCGGCCCGGCCCGGCCCGGCCCGGCCCGGCCCGGCCCGGCCCGGCCTGTAACGCTTTTGAGAGGCTTATATCTCAGCAACCGCTGGACCGATTGGCCTGCGGTCTTTTTTGTTGGGTAGCCCCATCCCTTCTACCCCGTATTTGACTACTTTTGATGCATCTCAGTGACCGTCGTGGCACGTGCCACGTGAAAAGTCAAGGGTGTTAAAGCTGTTTTGCAAAAGTAGTGATTTTGAGAGGCTCATATCTCAGCAGCCGCTTGGGCGATTGACTTGCGGTAATTTTTATTGGCTAGCAACATCCCTTCTACCCAAAATAGGATACTCTCGATGCATGTGTGTCACCCCCACTGCACGTGCAAAATACAACAATAAGAGGTGCCAAATTTGTTCCCATTTCAGTAACTCGGTAATTACTGGGGCGATTTCGCTGAAACTTGGCATACAGGTAGGCACCCACCAGGCAATGCATTCCCATGTGTTGCGGTTAGAGTGCTACTGCACGTGCGCACGTGCAAGGGGCGTTTCCAGATCTCGAGAACGGCTGGGCCAATTGCGCTCAAATTTGGTACACGGTTGGGGACCAGTTAGTAGGGTGCCGTGCAAAAGTCATTTTGGACCCCGTTTGCACGTGCGCACGTGCAGAATGCCGCTTCCAGATCTCAGGAACGGCTGGGCCGATTGCGCTCAAATTTGGCACACCACTAACGACCGGTTAGAAGGGTGCTTTGCACAAGCCCCGTTGGAAGTACCCACTCGCCCTTCCGCACGTGCAGGGCTCACTATCTCGCTCGCTCGTTCTTCGCCCAAAAGGCGTTTTACTGGTTTTAATAAGCTATTGTTTTTATAAGCTGCAATCCAAGCGGTTTAGCCATCAAATCGCTTCATTTTATAAGGAAATCGATTTTTGATTATCTTACCTAATCATTTTTTGTTACTTTTTATTTCGACTAGAATGATCGAATGGACCTATTTGTTTGATATTCTGATGGATCAGATAAAAATCCATTCATCGCCACCTTCGCTGAAGATACCGGGTAAATGGCGAGTGTCAACATAGTCCGGTGTAACCCGTCTCACTCACTACTGGCCTGAAAGCTCGCTCAGCCTCGATCGAGGGTCATCCCCGTCAGCGGCTTAGAGCGGGTGTCAGGTCGGATCAGGCCTGTTTTCACTACCGGTCTACTCAAAAGGCGAACGGTGTCATAAGAAAGCTCGAGGAAGAACCAGAAACGTTACCTTTGCTCACTTCTCACATAATAGTGAATGGATTTAG